TAGATAGATAGATAGATAGATAGATAGATAGATAGATAGATAGATAGATGATAGATAGATAGATAGATCAATAAAAATAATTATTTATAATTGTCAGCTGCTGCCTTCAATAATGTTAAACTGATTGAAGAGTTTCAAAGCCCATTCAAAGTTTCTTCTGTAGCAGACCTGTCGTTTCAGTACAGTTGTGACTCTGCAGAACATAAAAATGTAAATAAGAATAAGTTTCTATGTTGTTTTTTGCTTGAAATTGGAATTATTATCTGTGCAGGTCATTGGTAAGCAGAATATCAAATGAAAACTTTAACCCTAAAAAATGAAGAAATGCAGAAAGAATAAAACTTACATGAATCCTTTCTTCAGGCAGGACATGCGGGTTTTGGTGATGTCAGTCACACGAGCTATTGGGATCTTGAAGCTGCTGAACTCAGAGCAGCAGCCTCTTACAGGAGCCATGCTGTCCTGCACTCCACTGGCTGTGAAAATGATATGTAAATAATCAATGTCAAAGCACCACTGAGGAACATTAAAATGCAAAGAAGAAAACATGGAGGCCACTCACGCATGGAGTTGCAGCAGCAGAAAACGAACAGCAGCAGCCCCAGAGTCAAACAGAGAGTCTTCATGATGCTGATGGTGAAGTGATGAGGACCAGCTTCTTCTTCTCGCTCAGCTGTGATTGAGACCAAGCCTCTCGAGTCTTAAATGCTGCTCAGTGTTGAACTGAAAGTAGTGATGTCAGTCTTTCCGGACCAAATTATTCACTGCGAAGACATTAAACTTTCCACTGCAGAGATACCATTGTCTAATTTTATTTGGGGAGGGGCCAGACCACAGATATGTAGAGATTAAGACAATCTTATTCTGCACCACAGAAAAGGGAAGTCCATAAACAGCATTTAGCTTCAGCTCTACCTGGAAAACTTATCTGTAGAGATCATGTACAATTTTACTCTTTCAGTAGTTTTCAGAAGAGCTTTTACTCTCGTTAAATTAGTATTTTCTTCTTTTAAAATGAATTAGTTTATTTTAATTGACATTGTTGTCAAGGAGGCAACAACAAAAATACACAAAGAATTAACAAAAGTCCAACATGGTTGTATTAAACTTGCTTTTAACTCATCCACCCATAGGCCATCCATCCATCCAACCATCATCCATCCATTCATCTATCCATCCATCCAGCCATTCAGCCAAAAAAATAATAAAATTAAATAAAATTTAAAAAAAAAAAAAAAAAAAAAAATATATATATATATTACCTTGACAGAATCTCATCTATTACTGAAGGCTTACCACCGCAGAGTTGTTTATCCACCTCAGCAGTTTCAGTCAGCATTTGCATTTGTGGCAGAAAAAAGAAAGAAAGAGGATAGGCATTTTTTGGTATAATTTTACCATAAAGTTTCAATTAGTCCCTAAAAATACTTGTCAGGTGATGAAAGTTATTTGAGGTGCAATAGTGCACTTTATGTAAGTATTATAATTGTCACTTAACCAAAAGACTTGAATAAATATCATTATTATGATATTATTCTGGAAGTTTCAACTGGTACTGGGTTCTTTACATAAAATTATTAAAATGTATTCTGAGTAATGTGCCAAAACAGCTTATGGTTTGCGTGAAGGACTCCTTTATAAAGAAGACTTTTGAGACAGTATTTTAGTCATCATTTGGTTTTTGCCTGTGTCTATTTGCAAAGGTTGTGGGATTCTAAGTAAGGTCTACGACACATCAAGGTGGATATTCCAGATTAACAGGTCAGAGATCAGTTTTGATGTCTGTGGTGTAATAAATAGTAACAGAAAACTCCCCACACCACTCCACCCCCCTACCTCTGATGCAAAATACGTATATGGTAAACCATGATTCAGTTCTTCTATCAATGCAGATCTATTCTAAATAAGGAACAACTGTGTTTAAAAGATCTTATCACAATTCATTTAAGATTAGTTCTGAAGCAGAAGCTCACCCACACCATGACCTTAAATCACTTCTACATAAGTGTCTGTAAAAACCCATCCATCCATCCATCATCTTTACCCGCTTATTTCATTTTGGGTCACGGGGGTCGCTGGTGCCCATGTCCAGCAATCACTGTGCGAGGGGCGGGGTACACCCTGGACAGGTCGCAAGTCCATCACAGGGCCACATAGAGACAAACGAGACAAACAACCATTCACTCTCTCACTCACACCTAGGGACAATTTAGAGTTACCAATCAGCCTAACATGCATGTTTTTGGTCTGTGGGAGGAAACCGGAGCACCCGGAGAAAACCCACGTATGCACAGAGAGAACATGCAAACTCCACCCAGAGAGGCCCCTGGACCGGGGTTTGAACCAAGGACCTGCTCGCTGAGAGGCAGCAGCTCTACCAGTTGCGCCACCGTGCTGCCCCTGTAAAAACCCATTTGTTGTAACTTGTTGTTCAAAGGGACATCGTACTGCTTATAGCAGTTAAATATACAGATGGGACTGATTAAAAAAAAAAAAGTCAAATAACAAGGGTATAAATCAATATTTTAATATTTTTTCCAAGATGAATGAGTCAACATATGCTTTGATTTACTTTTAAAACATCAAAAGTGGTTAAATTTCCTAATTTAAAATTGAAATGCATGACATTTTTGTAAAACTGCTTTGTTTGTCTCTGCAGATTGGGAATTAACATGTTCCACTTGTATGTACTGTATGTACAGTATGTATGTTTGTATGTTTGTATGTATGTATGTATGTATGTATGTATGTATGTATGGATGGATGAATGGATGGATGGATGGATGGATGGATGGGTGGATGGATGGATGGATGGATGGATGGACTCATATTTCAAAATAACCTTGTAAAATATAAATTTATCAAAGTCTGGAACACTTTGAGAATGTATTACAGTGTTTAATTCCCACATTTTTTGTATTTAATTTCCTGTAAATTATTTTAACCTCCTAGGACCTGGCATCCACACATGCAAGTGTCCGGGTCTTAGGAGGTTAAATATAGATTGTACCGAACTAATTAGAAACTGTATATACTTGTCTGTTTACTGGCCAACAAAATGAATAAAATTTAAGCATAAATAAAAGTGACTAAACTCATAGCTCATCAGCCTAAATAAAATGTTAAATAACTTGTTTTTACATTTTAAATGTCCAAACTCAGCCGCATCATGCCTGCCATGTTCATGGACACACAGTGAATAAATATCAGTTCAATTCAATTCAGTTTATATAGCAGCATAGCACCAACCAAGTCAAAACAGGTGTCATCTCAGGGCACATGAACAGAAACATTCGTATGATTAAAATATTGACATTCATCATGTTGCTGCTGATCTGTTTCATGTTGCTGCTGATCTGTTTCAATGTTGATGTGTTCATGCGTGCTCATCTGCTCACACAGACTCATGTTCATGTTTGTGCTGATGTTCAACGTAATGTTTTTTATGCTATTAGTGCTTAGTGTATATTTAGTTGATGTTTTTCTTAGTTCATATCTTATATGTCATCATTGTTTTTCTTTTACATTTTATTGTTGGATGTAACTGGGACCCTGTGTACATAATTTTGCTCCACCACATGTACTACATGAGGTGCGAATGACAATAAAGAAACTCTGACTCTCTCTGACTCTGATATATAAAAATAATAATTAAACACTATTTATCTGAGGAGCAGACTGCTTTGAATTTAACTTCATCACAGAACTCTCATCTTGATCAAGCATGAAGGCAACAGTGGAAAGGGAAAACTCCCTCATGTGGAAGAAACCTTTAGCAGAACCAGACTCAGGACAAGTGGCCATCTGCTTCGACCGACTGGGATTGAGAGGAACAGGAAGAAGGAAAAGATAAATAAAGGCAGGTCAAGAATCACATGTTAAGATAGAAATAATATCATTTATTTCATATCTATTCAATTTTAACAATTAATTTAGGAAAATTAGGTCAATTTGTCCTCTAGTAGTTTAAGTCTATGGCAGCATAACAAGCCAACCCTAATCATAGGGTTTATCCAAAAGCAAAGTCTTAAGCCCAGTCTTAAAACTGGACAATGTGTCAGCCTTACGGACAGAAACTGGAAGTTGGTTCCACACTTCTACAGGTGTGCAGTGGAGAGTATCCTGTGCTCCAGCATCAACGTGTGGCATGGAGGCTGCACCGCTGCAGAAAGAAAAGCTTTGCAGAGAGTGGTGAAGGCTGCACAGAAATCTGTTGGAGTCAGCCTCCCCACCATCACAGAAATCTACACCTCCAGATGCAGGAAGAAGGTCGCCTGCATCATGAAGGACCCCACTCACCCAGCACACACACATTTTACCCTGCTCCCCTCAGGCAGGAGGTTGAGGAACATTAAGTGTAGAACCATTAGACTGAGGAACATCTTCTACCCTGAAGTTGATCCTAGATCAGCGAACACTGTCGTCTACTCAAATTTTCCTGGACTATCTTGCAAAAAGATCTGATGCTCTCGACCTTGACCTCTCTAAGTGACTTTAAACATCTAAGTTCCTGGCAAGAACCAATGCAGACATGTTTGTTTTTAGTTTTCTACACTGCCTTATAATCTAGGTTTTTTTTCCGTTACTTTTTCCATTAGATTGTCCTTTTGGTTGCCATTTTATTTTAATTTGTTAAATGAATGAATGAATTTTAAGAACGCTCCGATTATTACGGTAATAAAATATGCGCGTTCGTCAGAGTATTACGGTAATGTGGTAAGAAGAAGAAGACGGGTGCATTTCCGCTTCCGCTACCGTCAGAAGGCCCGCTGAAATTCAAAGTTGGAGGAGGAGATTCTCAAACTGTGAAAATAACCAGAGGCTTCAACAATCGTTTTCGACAACAATTGATTTGTTTTTCCAACTGTAGTTTCTTGCAGACATCACATCAGGTAAAATAACACCTTTTAATTTAAATTACATATCGAGAAATTCAAGCTAACAGGCGCAGCTCGCTCGTGAACAAACTAGCTGAGAAACTAAGCTCCAGTTATTAAATACTTCTTAAGTTGCCTGTAAAAACATAAGATGGGGCTAATAAAGCAGTAAAGCATCGTTATCTTTTAAAAGTGATTAAGTTAAGTTTAATGGTTGTTTGTTAGTTGTGTTACAGCGTTGGTTTTTTTTACGGTTAGCCTCGCTAGCACAACTGGTTTGAAATACCAAACATGGGTGTTGTCACTTTCTTTTTGCTAAACTTATCTGGTGTTTATTGTTTATTTCCTAGAAGCATGTCATTTCTATTCATTTCACGCTTTAATTGAAAATGTAATGTAGTGGTTTAGTCTGTGGGTAAATGGTAAAGCAGTAAAACTGTTTTATCTCAGTTCGCCTTTAGCACAACTTATAAAGAGCAAAGGTTAAAAAAAAAAAAGCAACACTGTGTGTACACAACGGTTGGTATCATCAAGGTTAAAATTAACTAACAAATGAAGTATTTATCTAAATGCAATGAAGTATTTGTTGTAACTACCTTAACTTTTCTTTTGCGTGTGTATTTTTGGTCAAATTAGACTTATTCTTATTAATGTTTGACTCTAATATTGACGTTTCTAATTTAAAAAATTTTGGGGGGAAAATATTTAAACATTTCAAATAAAGTGTGTGATGGATTTTAATTTTCTTTTTTGTCTATCTACCTGTATATCTCTTCCCGCCCCTCCAACCCCCTTCTTTTGGCTTCTCCCTTCTTCTTAGTTCGCCACAGCGAACTAAGTTGCACAAAGACTTGGCGATTATTTTTATGCCGGATGCCCTTCCTAACGCAACCGCAGACTACCGAGCTACCACAGCCCTCTGTGGAGAGCTGCCATCTAGGACGCCCAGGGGAGCAGATGGTGGGGATTAAGGGCCTTGCACGAGGGTCCAGAGTGGGCAAATGAGGGTGGAGGCAGGTGTGGGTGCTTTACCTATTCCACCCCCATTTTTTAAAAGATTGTTGGTAACGGGAGTTGAACCAGTGATCCTCCAATCACAGGCCCACCGTCTCTAACCTCTGCGCCACCACTCCCTATATATATCTATCTATATATCGATCTATCTCACATTATTATAAACCAACCATGAGTAAAATTAAGCTAAGAAAACAAACAAACAACCTTTTATTCATAATTGATCCAAGAGCACAAAAACGAAGAGCAAACTATAAAATTCTGAGTTCATTTGCTCGATGTGTAAAGGGCTTTTGTTATTGTTATTATTGAGGAGTCACCTGAGATGGTTCACTGATGTGGGGGCCTCTTTTCCAAGCACATCCCACTGAAAGGACACCCAGGGCAAAACATGAACTCTGCATGGATTTTGTATAAGCAGAAGAATGTATATTTGTCCATTTTAAAGCTTTTTTATTTTTTAATAAAACTTGCACATGGAAATTATAAAATGTACGGCAATAAACGCGTGCTACAAAATGACGTCAAAATATGAAAACTTTGCCAGTTTTCCTTGCCATTTATAAAGCTGTGAATAAAGTCAATCACCTAATTAATAAAACCAGTTTTACATATCTGAGAACTCTTATTGTGTATTCTGAAATAGTCCATTTGACTTTGATTTGCATCTTTGCAGACTGGAAAGCTGGAGATGGAGTCTGGAGAAGAAAATAGTGGCAATGCCAACTTGAAGAGGCAGCGAGAGCCTCTTTCAGACTCTGAAGACAATATTGTCTCAGCACCAGGTGTGTGTGTTTTTTTTTTTTGTTTGTTTTTTCAAGAATATAAATAATCTGATCTTTATAATTGTGCTGTTCTGATGTCTAGAGTACATCAAATTTCTTATTTGTTGTTTCAGAGATGAAAGATGGTTTGAAGCGGCGGCGTCTGGAAGCAGCTGGTCAGGAGAACTGTAGTCCCAAACCATCTACATCTGGACGTCTGGCTGAGCTAGAAACAAAACCAGACACACCGATGATTCCCTCGGTCCGTTCGCGAGTTCAGCTACTCACTCGGAGAGGAAATGGTAATAACTCCTTTTAATTGCTGAAGTTTACTTTTCATTCAACCTTTATTTATGCAGGTTAGTCTCACCATTTTATGTTGTCAACCAATCACCGTAATATTATATTCAACAAAATACTTACAAATTATAGCCTTAGATGTAATCACCAAAATAATTTATGACCTGTTCGAGGTCATTTTAGTAAAGAAACTATATTTGAAACCCGTCATTAGGAAGTGAAGATTTATTTCAGGTTTGCCTTAGTTCTAGCCTGTATTAGATAAGTGTCAAGTCAAATTTATTTATAAAGCACGTTTAAATCAGCAGCTGTTACTAAAGTGCTTAACAATAAAATCACAACATCAATTTAAAAAGTAACATGATATAATTAAAAGCATCAAAAACACAAAAACAACGAGAACCAATGGGATAATAACTCAGATCGCACTGTTAGATGTCAGTGAATGCAGGTGTGTTTTCAGGAGAGATTTAAGAGCAGGGAGTGAAGTGGCCTGTCTAATGTTCATGGGCAGATTGTTCCAAAGTTTACGGCCAATGACTGAAAAAGCCTGATCTCCTCTGAGCTTCAGCCTGGTTTTTGGTACAACCAAAAGCAGCTGGTCTGATGATCTCAGCGCCCGAGAAGGAGTATAAGGTTGAAGTAGGTCAGAAAGGTATGAAGACGCAAGGCCGTTAATGCACTTAAATGTCAACAGGAGTGTTTTGTGTCAACACAAAGGAAATGAGAAATGCATCTGGATTTTATTAGCTTTTCTGTTCTTAATGGAGTCAAGTTGGTGTAGATTCAAAGTCAAGATGGATTATCTGCATGAAATAATGTAATATTACTTAGTGTTAATAAATTTGTGACAAATCAACATTGTGTGTATTGGACATAAATTGCTGTATGAAATCTTAAAACATGGTTGTGCTTTTGTAGTTCAGCGTTGCTCGTCTGATCCGGTAGCTGAAAGCCCATCGGTTCTCAACAAGGATGTCAAAGAGCATTTCCTTGGTGAGGATGGAAACGAGCACACACTGATGCATACGAGTATTCAACATCATGTCACACTATATCATAATGAATTCAGTTATGTTGCTTTGGCTGATCAATAGATTTTAAGTCTTGTCTTGACATGTTTAGCTAACACAGAAATAACACAGAACGTGTCATTTCTAATAATAGCTTGGAGGTAAAATATTTCCTTAGAATCTACAGGCCAGTATTCCTGTCCAGCCAAATATCAGCCTAATGTTCATCAATGTTTAGCATATTAATGCCAATGCCATCTCAGCAAATAGGATAATATCTGCCACTGATATGGTACTTTTTCCAGGAAAAGAGGAATTTAATCAACGAATGGAGCTCTTTAAAGCACCCGTCTTTCTGGCCAGCCCCACCCCAATGCGAAGTCCTGCCGACCCCTGCCAACGAACCGGCTCCGACTTTGTGTGTGGAATTCAGCAGAAACTCCAGTGCACAACTACACCCAGCTCTAAGCAAGCTTCCCTTATACGGCAGGTTGGTTCTGCAGCTTTAAATCACTGATTGGCAATACTACTTCCCAGTAAGTAAATAAAAAAAATAATAAAATAAATTATACACTTACCCTTCATTTTATCTGTACATGGTTGTCAGTGATGCCTGTTAATCTTTTAACTTGAGACTTTCTAAACTTCTAACTTTGTTTTGCTGATCAGGAACGAGAACGTGAGTTGAACCAGTTACCTTTCCAGCCAATCAGCGAGAATGCCTGGCTGAAAAGGAGCAGCTCTGACTCTTCAATACTTCATGTGAGTTTATTTTTAACTGTTAATGATATGATTTTTATTAGTTACAATTAAGCAAATGCAGATGATTTGCATCCATTTTTTATTTGATAAAAATGAGGTTGAGCTGTTTTGAGCATTTGCTTCTTCATGAGTGTCAAAAATTACCATTGTGTTGTAGTTTAAGTAATGGTAGGTTCTTTCCAGTATAAATAACAGTTGATCTAGTGTTGGTTGTTGTTTAGTTTTTGGTAATATTTTGTTCACTCGTTTCTGATTTCCAACCAATATCTAATCACTCCTGCTGCTTTATATAAACATTAGCAGGAAAGGACCCCTGCTGACTCGCCGTCATCCTTGTCAGTTCTAAGATCTAAAAGGAAAATTTGTTGGCCTCCCATGCAGCCCTGGGATGTGAGTTTGTTTGGAGTGAAAAGAAAAGACAATAACTGGTGTCCTTTTTAAAGAGGATTTAGATGATGCATACCCAACTGTGATTCCAAACTTATTTCTCCTACAATGTGATCAAACTTGATACCGCAGTTGGACATATTTTCATCTAAAGCCTTTCAGGGAATGTGGTTCACTTCTGAAGTCTTGCACCTTTTTTTAAGAACGTGGTGTGGTTGTGGGGGAGGTTGAAAGTTCGCTGAAGTGAGAAAAGTGTTCTAGTTGAGTCATGCTTTCTCCCCCCCGCATTTCTTTAGAAACAACTTATTTTAGTTTTGTATAGCACATACCTAATTATAGGAGCACTTTAGAGCGATTTGCTTTACTTTGCAGCACCTTTTTACCCTCTTAGTAGTTTCATATGAAATAGCTTTATATTTCATTTCTACTTTCAGTTTTCTTTAAAGAAATCTATTTTACTTGGTAGACTGTTAATTAGGCCTGTCACGATAAACAATAAATTAATTAATCTCATGATAAATGAAAATTATCTACTTCATTTTCATTTATCGGCTTTACCGTTTCTTCGTGTTTGTCTTTTTACTGGACACTGGATGACAAAAGGCTCAACTCCGGTGCTCTTCACTGACCTCTCCATTTCTCTTTAAAATCTGTTTTTAACTGTCCAAAATTGCGTTTTTGGATCGTTGAAAGCAGCTAAGCTGAGAAGCTAAGCTATGAGCTAAGCTAACAGGCCGACCTTGGAGAAAAAAAAAACTGTCTTGTCGAAGCTCCAAAATTCGCGGTTGAAACCCGTGTCTTCGTGTAAAAAGTTGTTTTTCTCTGCAAAAAGAAGCTGAAAACTTGTTTACCGATATTTTTTGTATTAAAAGCTTTGTGTGGCAAATGCTACGCTAACTGAGCGTCGGCCATTTTGAGAACTAAAAAAAAGGGAAAGAGACAGCCCATGTCACGTCAAGGAGCCTCCCTCCCATTTTTCTTAGAGACATGCTGCTCGCTCCTTCACTATCCATCCTTCAGTTTTAACTCTTTTACTTCCATCTGGTGGTCAAAAAAGGTACTACGCTCAAAACTAATTAACATATATTTATTCTTAAATTTGACAGTAATTACTAATTATTGTCAAATTTCAAACAATTGTATCGTTTATCGCAATAATTTCGGAGACAATCGCCCAACAACATTTCTTATCGTGACAGGCCTACTGTTAATTTAAAATGCCAATCATGATTATGGTTATTTTGAAATTATTATTTACATTTGCAATTTTAGAAATGCACTTGAACATCTTTGTTATATTTTTAACACCCTGATGCTTGTTGTATCCCAGCAGGTTCTTGGTGATGCTGAGGGAAAAGATGGCAGTTTCACTGAAACTCTTGCATCAGCTGCAGAAAAACCTTCTGTAAATATGATGGGTAAGACTGCTGATGCTATGCAGACTTTCCTCGGTGTTTGATTCTCCTAAACAAGCAAGATTAAATTGATTTAGAAATTGGAAATGTCCAGAGACGAATGATGTCAGTACTGGACAAAAGCCACATAAAAATAGACTAAATAAAAACTAAAGCCCTGTCCTAAAAGCCAATACCGGTACTTAGTACTTCAATTTATTGTGCAAATATCTTTTACTCCATGGGAAAATTTGTTAAAAGGGTTCAAAGTTAATATGTGTAAACAATGGTGTATTGACATTGAAAAACTTATTTTTGTTGTTTCTGGTGTATAGAGTAGTCCCAATCAGTTCCACTCAGTGATAGAATTACTACCTAATTTAGAAACTTCTAAAATGTGTTAAATAGCATTTTACACTCCAGCTTATACTTCATTAGATATATCATGCTTGAAAGTGATGAGATTCTGGACACATGTCTTATCAGGTGAAGGAACATCTTCAGAAGCTCCTGGACATGAGCAGAAACCTCATCACGGTGAGGAAGATGAGAAAAAGAAAGAGCACGAGCTTGCAGCTATGACTAAAGAAGAGCAGCCAGGTCCCCAACGTCCAAAGGCCCAGAATGTGTTAGAGTTGTCTTTCAACGATGAGCACAGTTCGTCTGAGCTGCATAAAGCTGATGAGCACATTTTCTTACAGTCAAGTCTTCTAGATGAATCAAATGTGAATTCTGAAGTACCGGTAACTGAAGTGGACAGCTCTGAGGTGTTTACTTTGGATGAAGACGAAACGATGGAAAAATCTTCATACGGTGAAGAGTTAATTGAGCCTTCAACTGATGAGGACCTTAAGGTTTGGAGATATCCTCAAAGCAGTGCTGAAGAATCGGCCACAGCAAGAGAAAAACGGGTATCTACTAAAGAGGAGGAAGGGAAATTAGAGCCGCCCAGAGAGGACAAAGAGGAAGGAGATGACTTTAAACCTACTGATTTTCAGAATGTCGAATTTAGCGCATCTGCAGAAGTTTCTAGTGAGACTGCTGGTTTTCCCAAACAACAAGAAGCTGACAAATATTCAGAGAAAGAAAAACTTGAGGTAGAAAATAGTTTAGGCAATTCTGTGAAAGAGAACTCTGATTTAAGGAGTAATCGTGTAAAAATAAAATCCTCTGAAGGTTCCTGTGAGGAAACAGTAACCCAGAATGATGCATTACAACACTCACAGGAGAGTCAAGAAGTCGGTGTAAAACGTAAAGCTTTAGAAGAAACACAATCTGAGAATGCAGACAATGAGAAAAATGCTGAAGGTGTTCAGCCTTCAGTGAAATCTCAGACTTATGGACATGATGGAGCTCAGGGTTCAACAGAGATCCAGGTGTCGGACTCGCATGACGAGATCAGTTCGGCAGATGGAAAGCAGAATGTTGTAGACGGGCTGATGGCAGAAATGCACAGTACAGAGAGCTCAAGGAAAGTCACTTTTGTCCTGGAGCCTGAACTGATTAATAGTTCAGCTCTGACTGAGAGCAATACATCACTGGAGACCAGAACAGAGACCAGTCTGTCAGGTGAGACCAGTCTGAAGATGCAGCTATGAGCACTTGGGATTCCTCTAAAAAGGACAACACAGGGGTGAAGCACTTTGTTGTTGAGATTATAATTCCACTGGGTTCACTTTAAGAGTGGCATGTTTGAGGTGAAATAAGGTGATGAGAAATTACAGAATATTACAATTAAACACAAGTGGTGTTCAGATTGTTTTTACTTCCTTTTGTGTGCAATTTCTTTTATAAATTTGTTATGTTACAGAATTAAGTAGTAAATAACACAGGATTACAAGCACATTTGGTATTTCACACACAAACTTGAATATGGTTCAGTAATGTGTTGCTCTTGAAAGAATTGCCTTTTTCTTGTCTCAGACTTCATTCTGTAGAAATGGATTTGATTCAGTGTTAAAATTTCTTTCCCCAGACGCTGGATTAAACTCCCATGACGAGACCAACACGTCTGAAATGATTGACAAGATGTTTGAGGAGGTTATGAGTTATGCTGGAGGAGTAGAAGATGCGGAACGGCATGATGAAGACCATGATAGTGGTATCGCTGCTTGCTCTGGAGTCAAGGACAAGATGGATCCAGATGTAAAGGAGGAGAGAAGTGAAAAAGAGGATGAGTGTGATGAGAGCAATAGCCTCAACACTACTGGAGATGAGCTCACATTTCCTGCGAGTGGCATCCTTTCTCCTCTCAGCAAGTCTGTTGAAGCTGCGGTCACTCCTCTGGTAACTGCTTTAGAAGAACTATTTGAAAATCTGGGAAAATACTGTTTCAGATTTAAGAGAAACAAACTGGTTCCTGTTCATGTTTAGACCGAACGCTGTATAACATTTGTATTTGTGACCTCTTCCAACAGCGGCTGGCATCATCTCTGCAGTCTGATCCTCCATCTTTTCTCCTGACCCCAGAAGAAACCTGCACCCCTCCTGCTGAATCTGCTCCTCTGTACAGGTAGCACAGACAATATTAATCTAAATGTGTAGGTCATTCAGAAAAGGTAGTGTGTGCATACCATGAGGATGTTACCGTGAGTCATTATTTCCGCATTTATAACATGTAATCAGTCGGGTACTGATGAAGATAAGATTATATAATCAGCTAAAAGAAACTGAACTTTCTCCAGTGTGATCTTAGTTTTGCACAGTTGATTTGTGGATTTGTTAGTGCAGATGTCAACGTAACATTAGGGTGCTGTTTAATGACTCAAAATATCCATTTCAGTATATTTTCTATAAGATGAAGTATTTTGATATGTGTTTGACAGTATTGATGCGTACCGCACACAAAGACAGAGTAAGCTACCGACCGTTAAGAGCATCACTCCTGCTGTTCAGAGACAGACTTCAGAGCTGACCAAACCTCAACCGTCAGTCAACACTAAGGAGAGAATTGCAGTAAGAGCCATTACTTTTTTCCCCTTTAAATTTATTGAACATGCAAACATTTTATTAATATCAAATATTCCTACGCTCAAAGGAGTGGGAAGAAGTATACTCTTGGACCTTATTCCCATCATTTCTTATTCATAAAATAAATAAATAAAAACTTGTTAATCTAAACAACTATTAAAGAAGTGATCTCTTAGAGAAGATTTGGTCTTTAGCCAATCTCAATCCATATTTGGCTTCTTTTTTTTAAGCTGTGGGGTCCATAGTCACACTGACTTGTTAGCCTAAATTCAAAGATGTTTTGTACAATTTCACATACTTTTTGCTTGTAAGAGTGTTAATCCTGACAAACGTTTATACTGAATCTTTTCAAAATGCTCACCTTCTCATGATGTTGGGTGTTTTTTTTCCAGACTCTTAATGAAGAAGCATCAAAACTGCAGACTGTGATCAACCAGACACTGCAAGCTCTGAGCTGCTGTACAGATGAGGAACATGGACGGGGCTCGCTGGAGGAGGCTGAAGCTGAGAAACTGCTGCTCGTCTCTTGTAAGAACACCGCTGGATTATAAACCGTCCGCTAAAATAAAATGAAATGCAAATCCGTTTCTGTTTTTATAAAAATTAAAAGCAACAGTTGGTGACTTTAAAATTAATTGATTTTGAGCTAAGAAAAGTAGCAACTGTGTTATGATATAACTAATAATTTCAGTCTAAATGCATAGATTTAAGAATAATGGTTGGTTTAATTTAAGAAGTTCTGGCTTTAGTTCAGGGGTCTGCAACCTGCGGCTCTGGAGCCACAAGTGGCTCTTTGGTCCCTCTGTAGAGGCTCTTTCAAGCTTCAAACAAAACAAACACAAAATTGAATTTTATTGGTTGTTCTACAAACATCAATAGTTTTAGCTATTTTCCTGTCATTTATTTAACAAATACTCACCAACTTTTTGCTTTATTTCTATACTTAATTATTTTTTCCACAATTTAAAAAAAAAACATAGATCTGCATAGTTCATAGTTGTTGTTTTTTTTTTTTTTTATTTAAAAAATTTTTTTCCCCTCTTTACAATAATCTGGTCTTTTCATTTGTCTTAAATTGTAAAAATGTAAATAAATGTTAAAAATCATTGTATATTTTTAGCTTTAAAATGTTACCCTTACTGGCCACAAAAGTCTCCAACAAACTTAAAGTGGCCCATGGGCCACCAGTTTATAACCACAGTTGTGGCAGATTGTTGCGGCTCTGGACACGTTGAATTTAGTGAACGAAGACGTAAAAATGGCTCTTTTGATCGTAAAGGTTGCAGACCCCTGCTTTAGTTATTGCTGACCCAAGAACAGAAAAATGTTCAAATGGAGCCTAAAGTTATTTCTCAAAAAGGTTCATACTGTATTATTAAAAGTTTTAACATAAGAGACGGTGCACACCAAAAAAAAAAAAGTTTTTCTTAATTCTTATTAATGAATATAATTAAACAATTATTAATAAATAAATAAATAAAATAAATATTAAGAATAAAAGTGCCGCACTTTTTATAGAAGCAGCTTCGTACACTCCGCCCATCTTTTGGACGACTGTACGCACATGTTCTCGTTGTATCTCGGTGCATCGATAATAGTTTGTTCTGATTCTAAATGGCAAAGGGCTGTGGTCCTACTTTTTTGCATTAGTAAAGGGGCAGGGCAGTGTTGGTTGTTTTTCCACTTTACACAAACAAGATTAAACCTGCCCTCCCAATACTTGGACTCAATCAAAACCACTGATTCTGTGTTAATATTTATACATTTCAAAGCATAGTTGCAGTGTGTCTTTTTTTATTGTTTTTGTTACAGTATTATTGGTATATTCTGCAAGCTTCTATCTTGGTCTTTTCCTGTCCTCCCACACTCCATCAGTTTAGGCAGATGGCTGCCCATCCTGAGCCTGGTTCTGGTTCAGCTTCCTGTTTCAAAGGAAGTCACTTCTTCCCTCTGTCGCCTCCATGCTTGCTGAAAATGGGGGATCGTGCCAAAATGATGTTTTGACACGATTTGCTGGTTTTCTTGCATAGCTTTAATTTTTACAAATTTGTATTTTGAAACATGATTCGAACAATCTTGGACTTTTATTTTTAAATTTAATTGACCATTCATAACTGAATTGGATTCATGATTTGGATTTGTTTCTTCTTTGTAAAGCACATTGAGATGACTTGTGAAAATGTTTTTATTGATCTGTTTGTTGTAGGTGAGAAACGCTGTGCCCTTCTGGCTGAGGTGGCCAGACTGAGAGATGAAAGAAGCTCAGAGTCTGAAGAACCAACAAACGAGGACACAGGGTGCATTTCCCAGCAGCCCTGCAGAGGGACGGTCAGCATCACAAACATCCAGCTGCCTCTGAAGGTGGAATTTGTCTGCTCATCACAAAACCGTACAGGTACTTCAGCAGTTCTCAAATTTAAAAATCAGGAATTTATAATATTGATTAAAAAGAAAAGTCCTCACTGAAGTGCACATTTAAATTGATGTTATGTTCCTGTTAAGGTCGGCCAACCCACTACTTCTTTGTTCTGATTCGCTACGGTCCCTGCAACATCATCGCCACGCCGCTAGCCACTGCATCTGATGCTCAAAATGGAGACACAATCTCCTTCCCAACAACTGTCACAATGTAAGCTGCATTTCATCAGTTCTACTGTCATTGTGCCCTCTTGGCTCTTTTTTGTTTGTGAACAAATTTCATGTGGATGGAGACTAAAATCAAATTTATCTTGGGATGTTAAATGCTAATTTAAGTGGAAACATTCAGATTTTTTTTCTTCATCACATTTCAGGAAGGATATTCGTTCCTCTTTTGAGATTGATGTGGAAGTCTACAGCCTGGTAAAACGAGAAAAAAAATATGTTTTTTTTTATCTGACTCTAGGTTAAAAAAAATAACCATTGTGAGAGTTGATTGCAAATTATCTAAGGAGATGGACATTACATTTGCTTTAGAAATGACATGCAGCTCATGTAAAACTTCTGTACTTTATCTACTCTTTCAAGTCATAATGTCCGTTATGAATTTAACCCCTTAGTTTGTTCAGAAGGAAGGAACTGCACTGTTATGGAAGTTCTTTATATGAACAATTATAAATGCCACAGAAATAAATCCAGATTAATTATTTTTGTAGGCGTATAACAAAACCAAGACCAAAACAAATTACATTTAAGTTTTGCTCTTAAAAGAATAAAGTTACTCACTTCTTCCATTAATTGTTCTGAACTTTTAAGTATGATAAAAAAATTCCTTTCTCAGGTTAAATTTCATTTTTGAGCCTAGGTTTGTTTGAACTGTTAAAACATGGTTGTGTATTTTTATTTATTTTATTTTATGTTTATTTTTTTCTCCATAATTTATTTTGTTTTTGTTCCATTTAGTCTCAAGCATCAGGCACAAGCAGCCTCACAGACCGGGCTTCCACCAAGTCACGTGTAAGTGATGGTTTTGTTATTTATTGTTGTTTCTCTGTAGAGTTTTGGAAATTAAAAGCCCAGTGTGTGTTTATTAAAAGCAGTATTATATAATTATTGTCTTGACATTTTCAGGTCACACCAAGAAAACTGCTGAGTACTATCACAGTGAGTTTCAATTTTATTTTCTGCCTAAATGTCATAATAAATGGTTTTGTCCTCCGCCCTCGGTAATCTATGGATCACCCTAACAATTTATTTTGTTTTTAACAGAAATCCAGCCACACATTGACATGTAAGTGCGTTTTGTTTTGGTCAGTACCATGAAGCTTTTATTTTTTCCAGTTTGCTGTACTCAACAGTAACTCAAAAGTCACTAAATTAACAAGATCATAAGACGAGACTTGTCACGAGCTGCAAAAGCTCAGTGGTCAGTCTTGTACTCCTGAAGCTGCAGGTTCCACACCGTGGTGCATCAAGACGCAAAACGATCAAATCTTTTGTGCGAGTTTGCTTGCTGTGGTAGCTCCTGCAGAGGGGGCAGTCAAAGAAAAAAAACAACAGCCACTTCTAGTTTTTTTTATGAGTTATGTCTGGATCTGAGGCAGCTGTGGCTAAGTAGATGGAGCTGTCGTCCTCCAGTGCGAGAGGTGGGGGTTTGATTCCACCAGCAGTCATATGCTGAAGTGTCCCTGGGCAAGACACTGAACCCCTTAATGCTTCTGGTGTGTGTCTCGTCGGTGTATGGATGACTGATTAGTCTACAGATTCAGATTAGCTCTGTGGGGATCTATTACAGTGGTGGATGGAGGTAAATGAGGGCACAGATTGTAGTTTAAAGTACTTTGAGTATCTTGATTAGATACAAAGGCGTTATACAAGTACAGTCCATTTACCATTTATCTCTCTGCATTCAGGTTCCGCTTCTGTCAAAGCTCGTCGCTCCAGTAACTTTTGTTTGGTGGGCTCTCACAAGATCACCTTGACCTCACTGGGATGCAACAAGTTCCCCTTGGATAAGGTAATTAGAATTTATGGTCTGTTACTGGTAATAGACTCTTAACTTTTTGGTCAATTTAAGGTCAGAAAACTTTTTGTCTATTAAGCAATATATTGTAAAATTTAGCAAAAATTTGATAATCAGATTCTAAATATTGAAAATAAAGACTTAAAGCATCAACCACTGAACAATTAATACTTTTAAGTTTAGAACTGTAAATATGCTTGTGAAAAACAAACTGAGCAATATTATCACCATTCTCACTAACTTGCACATTTCTGCACTGTTTTTTTTTTTTTTTTTTTTTTTTTTTTTTTTTTCAAACACTAATGTATGAAGCACGAGTCCACCGACATCATCAATCTCTTTGGTTCTTTTTATTAATGGTTTTAACATCTACACATGGGTGGGCACACTGATGAAATGTTTGTCTCGCTCCCTGTCACTTTTTTCCTTCTTCCACTCAGATGAAATTTGAAGGCAAAATCAGGAGGCTGCTGGGAGATGAATTTCAGGAAAAGGTTTCACTTTTTCACTGTTTTTTCAAAACACTGTCACCCATTCACCTCTCAGCGTTCACCCTTCTTCATTGGTAATGCAAATTAAAATTACCGTCGTGATGAGATTTGTTTTAATAAAATCCATTACTGGTTTTCTTCTCGTCAAAAATCAACATTCATGAATTACAGCACTATGTTATTGACATTTTTACTCTTAAAGTTGTGCTAAACTCAAATATAATATCTAGTTTCTGATGGACGTTAATGTGTACGGTAATCATATTGTGCAATCCCCCTTTTTTCTGCATTTTTTATTTTTTTCATAATTCAATCTAGATTTGTAAAAACTCTGAGTGGGGAAAATGGAAACATAGAAACTTGATTTTAAATTTGCTGGTAGAGATTTACTTTAGAATAGTTTGACATCCACCCTCTGTTTTGTAGCCAAAGAATAAATAAAAACTCCTAAACTTTGTTGGCAGTTTAGCCAGAATAACTGAGCAACAAATTTTAATCATCAGACTGAAATTACATTTCTCCAAATCCCGTGTTTTTCTAATTTATTTTATTATTTTTTTAATATTTCAAACGTTTAAACCACTTATTCTTTTTGACCACAGGTGCCTTTTCTCTCGCCTCTAGAGGGCAACATCTACCTGAAACTGGACAGTGAAGGTCACTCAGATGTTCAGCACCAAGGCTTCCTGGTCAGTATTGTTGCTTTTGTTAAGACGAGCCGTTTTGCACAAATTTACCGAGGAAATTAAAAAAAAATATTAAATGAACTTCCACGGCATGCATGCTGTTGGCCCGTCAAGTTATTACATCTTTAACTGTTGTTGTTTTACTATTTATGCGTTGCTATTTTTAAAATGTTTTTATTTTGAAATCCAGCTAACAAAAAATAACTACCGTACACTCCTGTAGCTGCTGTCAGAAATGTTTGCATGGTCATTGTATTAATAAAACTCACTTCATTTATGTTTGATTACATTAAATAAATCTTGTTTGTGTTCTGCCTCCAGACGATGTTTGAGTTGATTAATGGATTTGGGGTGTGGAATCGCCAATATTTTGTTCTGGAGGGATGCAACATGTACTACTGGAACCACCCAAACGAGAAAGAAACCAAGGTTAAAAAGAAACAAAATACGAGTCTTAAAAAGTCAACTGGCTTTCGACAGAGGTTTAATATTGAGTTCTGTTTTAACTTCTCAGGAAGCAGAAGGCACCATCTCTCTGTCAGCGTCCTCCTGTCAGTGCGTCAGGATTGTCAAGAGAGAATCATGTGCTCGACCTTTCACCTTTGAGCTGGTGAAAAAGATCACACAGCTGGAGGGCCAGAACCAGGAACCATTGTCAAAGTAAGTTTATCAAATAAGTCCAACATCTTTAAAGCTGAGTTTCAATTGGCAAAGCATCAGACTTCTTTGAAATAATTTTGTTGTGTAACTTCAAGCTATAGATTTTCATCATTATAAAGTGCGGCCCCCCCATTTTTCTTTTTTTTTCCTTTCATCATTCCTTGCAGCATTTAAGAGTTGGTCGCACCGAGTGACAATTTCAAATGACTTTGCTCTAGACTCATTTGTGATGCATGCAGGCAAATGAGTCACAGTGAGGAATTATTCATTCAGTTAATCTACATGCTTTGTTGAAATTTGGCAATTTTTCATCTGACATGGCAACAATTTAGTTTTGTTTACAAACGTGCAGGTTTGAAAGCCCATTTTTTTATTGTTATAAATAGATTGGTGGTATTGTGACTTCCTGCCCAATATTTAAAGCTTCACAATGATGCAGTTATATGAAGGGACTTCCTGATGTTACAGCAGCCGACATAAAACAATGGTCAGTATCAAAGGAAGTTATAAGGGTTGTAAGACAAAAAATATTTCTGAAGCCATACCTGTTAAAAAAAACCCCATAAAATTAAAGGTAAAGAAGAAAGATTTCTATTCATGGTGTGTTCATGAACTCATTTTTATGCAAACCTCAAGTCAAGTCAATTTTATTGTTGTTCGCACCACATGTGGTACATGAGGTGGAACAAAACACAGGGTCCCAGTTGCATCCAAAAATGGTAAAATATAAAGTATAAAAAGAAACCGTATATAAGATCTAAGATATGTGCCAAACGGTACACCCAAAGATCTAAGATATACACTAATACTGTAAACCAATACAGCGTTAACAACAGCAGTCCGAACACGAGTCTTTGGTGAACAGATGGTATGAATGAATACAGCAGCATGAGATAATCAGTAGCATGAGATCAGCAGCATGAGATAATCAGTAGCATGAGATCAGCAGCATGGATAATCGGCAGTAAAAATAAATCACATCTCCAATTAAAGTGGCATTACAGTGTTTTAAAAAAAAAAAAAAAAATTATATAGTGATTATTCTGGTTAGTGATTCATGAATAACTGCTTCAGGGTAGAACCTGTTCCTCAGTCTAGTGGTTCTACACTTAATTCTCCACAATCTTCTGCTTGAGGGGAGCGGGGTAAAAAGTGTGTGTGCTGGGTGGGTGAGTGGGGAGTCCTTCATGATGCGGGTGGCCCTTTTTGCCACTTTGCCAGCACGAGTCACGTTTCCTATCATGCATGCTGGCTAATTTCTGTCTTTCAACTGAATTGAGCTATTGTTGACCAAAAATCTTCATTTTGGGTTTTCTGTGCCTTGATAAATCAAAAGGCAAGCTGTGGAAGGACCTATTAAATATAAGAGAAAAGATGGCTGTTTGACTCCTCACAGATAATAACGTAAACACACGTTCATTGGTTTTATTTATTTATTTATTTTTCCCCTTCCAGGTGTTGGTTCTCTGCTGACACCAAGCAGGAGATGTTGGACTGGATGGAGAAGCTCGGCCAAGCTCTCTTGGACTTCCACACATGGAACCAACCCCAACCAGAGAGTCGGCAGCCAAACCCGTCCAGCAGTGGGAACCTGAGGGAGAGTATACTGTAACATGTCATGTTATCTGTGACCCACGAAGACTTCCTGGGCTCAGTTTGTACCTGGCAGGTAGAAGAGCTGATATCAGAGTTTAGAGCTACAGGTCTTTGCAATGATGACAACACATCTCGTAATGGTTTCTTTGGGAGATATATTAATACTTTTCTGTGTATTTCTTTTAACTTGAATCTAATTATTTGATTTTTCTCTTTTATTTGTAAACTCACAGTTGCCATTTGAAAATTTTTATTTTATGTGATCAGATTTTTGTAAATCTGATTTTTATTTTGGATTTTTTTTTTCCCCTCTCTTTTTGGCAATCAGCTGCTTTAGCCTTTTAATGGCAGTATTTGGTCACTTTCAGGAGTTTAGGTGAAGTATTTGTTGTAGCCTGTATACAGTTTCCCCAATAAGGATTCAGCTCCTGTTTTAGTTTTATTGCTTTAAAATTAAATATGTATATTATATATTTATATCAATACGTTATTGCACATATCTCTAACTCTACTAAACTAATAAAGGATGGAGCATATTTGAAGAGGCTGGAAACTGTATAAAAACTAAAGTAACTACGGCAATCTTAGCCATTATTATTTTTTTTTTTCTGTTTTATGTATGTAAAAACAGAAAATTAATAAGCTTTCTTTTATCTGGGCAATAACTTTTGGTAAAATAGCTTATTCTGGGTACAATTTATACATTAGAAGTCAGGGTAGGTTCAGGTTGGACTCTGAACTGTTAAATGTTATCGCTGCAGGTTTAAAGGGCCATTAAATTTGAATTTTCTGTTCAATTAATTTTTTCTTTTCTTTTTTTATGTGAAGAAGGCAATGTCTTTCTGGATGGAATGATATCCGATAATTAACTAAATGAATTTTATCAGTTCTGAGCATACATGAGTGAATCTTTAGTCACATCTGTAAAACATTACTGGAAAATTAATATTTATGGGTTTTTCTTCTCTAAAGGAAATATTAAAATTCAGTATTTTCACTTGAATCATGTTTATTTTTTCTCCAGTGTCCTGAAGGTCCACTGTTAACTGCACATGCATGTATTTACAAATATAAGCTCATTTTTTTATGTGATGTAATGAATGGGATCATTGGTGAAGTTAACCAAATCTGTTGAATGTAGTTGTGCTGCTGAAGTTAATGTGCGTTTCTCTCAGATTTCCACCCTTCAGTCTGTCCTCTTGTTATAAATCTTGTGTATTTTCATTCTTTGCACTGAATGGATGGTACAGATGAAATAAAGGGATGAAACAACTTCAGAAACTGTTGGAACTGACTGAAACAAAGGATCAACCCAACTAGCTCTTAACACTCACAATTCAGTTTTTCTTCTCGCACATAACCAGAGTTCAAAGTTTAAATATTTCCTATTAATGTTTTTTTTTTTTGTTCCCATGTACCCCGAATTGTCCTTCACATATTTAAAAAAAAAAAAAAAAAAAAGTAAAATTACCATCTGAAAACACTCTGCTGCTAAACATTCAGAAATCTGGCAGGAAAGCTACTCGGGTCAGGAATGTCATACAGGAAGTGGTCTAGAATTAGACTTCCTGTTCGTCCCATAGCTTCTTTGGGTGGATGTACCGCTGGGTTTTAAGGTGATGATTGAAAGGAGGGGATGCGAGTGTGTTTTCTGCTTTCAGACACCTTTGCAGCAGAGTTGGACAGAGCAACAGCCTGTCAGCACCTGGACACATTCAGTTTTTTCATTTTCAACACTGCTTCAGGTGTTCAAACTGGAAAAACAAGCAAATAAGAAAAAGTATATACAACTTCGGTAAACGTCTCCCATTAATATTGTTTTACAACAATGTTGCGAGTGTTTTCCCTCATCTAGAGTGTTTTCTGAAGACTTTCCTTCCTTCGTGTTCCAGTCCAGCTCACTTCAAACCATCTATTGAGTTTCAGCTTGTGATGGTGAATTTTCATTTTTCTGTTTGCTCAAACATATTTCCACACTATTCTTGAGATCAATGCTGCTGAAATAATTTAAATTCTAATAAAATAGCCTACACAAACCTTTTTATTTTTTTTAAGTTTCTTTAAAAGCCTCAAAGCAGAAATCGATGAGGTTCACAAATCAGACTGGTCTCATGTTTCTTCAGTAATGTATAAATAATATAAAGCTTGAAACTTTTAGAAACATTTCTGCAGCAGAAGAAATATCTTAATTTCCGGATAAAAAGCTCATGAGATTTACCCATTTAAAGCTTCCAGATTTAATCTCTTAAATTCTTGATTATTTCAGGTTAATTTTCAGTGACATTAACTTTTACTTTGCTTAAATCAACTGCTTTTTGCCATAAAATTTTTTTTTTTTTTTAGTTGCAGATTTTTCCAAACAGGTAAACAAAATAAAACCTTTGTTTTTGTTGCTTAGCAATAAGAGCAGGAGCTGTTATTCTGAAGGATTTATATATTTAGATTACGTGTGAGACTGATGTCATCTTTTCATCTTGCAGGGCAGCTGTAAACACCAACTATAGCTTGTTAGATCTGTAGCAGGAGTGATGGAGCATTCAGGGACACGGGAAGAAACTCTGGACTGCAGTGAGGCTGACTCAGTGTGACGAGACTAGAAAAGAGTAGGTCAGTGGCCTTGTTGTCCTTATCATTGTGGCTCCACCCTGGCACAAATACATTCTGCACAACATCCTGGTGCGTCTGGCTCTGCTCTGTTCCTTACATGGTGCCGGAGGAAGTTTTTCCTGTGGTAACAACACAGGAGGTGACGCTGAAGAGGCTTGTTCTGGCAAAAAATAAGAGATTTATAGATTGGAAAGAATTAGCAAGGTCTGGGTGTATTATCCTGTAGAAAAGTGGCCAAAAGTTCCATTTATTTGACCTTTTTGACATGTCGCTCACAATCACTTTTTATATGTTAAATATGTTTTTGTTTCTTAGGACTAATTTAATTATTTTAGTACTGAATGAGCTTTTTTTTTCTTCAAACAACATTCATCTCAGACCAATTCCTGTTAATTTTATTGGCAAAAGTCCTGTGCAGTTTGATCTCATGGCCAGTTAAAACCATTGTAATGATTAGGTAATTGATTAGTTACACACAAAAAGAGCAGGGAATCAATCTGGGACTAATTGCTTAAAAAATACTTTATTTAATGATAATTAGGTGTTTTCCAAGGTTTGTTCAAAAGCAAGTAAACTCATTTCAAACTGGCTTAATTAACCACCACCATTATTCAGGACTAAGCAATCAACAACACGTTCCATGCCAACATCTACTAGACCTCATTTATTCTGGTTTGGTTGTTGAATATATGAAGACCACTCGTGGAAAGGCATTTAAAGCTGCATGAGGAAATGTTTGGTGCCGCTCTGAAACCTAATGGGACCCACGTGTTTGTGCTGGCTCCCACTCCAGAGCTACTTGGCACACTGCTTGTGTATTCAAAAAGGTTTGGGACGCCCAGAGACGTTAACAAGGGTGCGGGCCCAGAGGCCTTTACTGCTCAAGCCCGTGTCGGTCCAACAACTGAGGAGGACCTGTGGCACGAACTTTTTTTTTTTTTAACATTCGGTTCTGCGTCAAATAAAGCAGCCGGTTGAGTCATGAGGATCTGGACTAGCAGAAGGATTTTGTGAAGTGCCTTCCATCATGTTTATCGACTGTTGTCCATTCTCCCTCTTTAAAACAAGCTGCAGACTAATGACTTCTACATTATACATGGTTTCCAGTAACTGGCTTCCTTTATGGGTGAAGACTCCAAGATGGTCCGAGCATCATGTCTGCTCACAGTTTCCCCTTCGCTCTTTCCCTCCATTTCCTTATCTTTTGGGTATGTTTTCAGTTTTACACTTAGATGGAGCTAAACGCAGGATCTACAGGTTTTATCAGTTTAAAATAGACCTGTTTTATCAAATTCAAGATAGTTCACTTCTGGTTTTCTGCAGCATCCCCTAATTTCTTTAATGATCTGAACCTTTATACATCACTTACTGTAGGTGATAGAATTATGTGCAGCTTTGCATGAAAACAATTGTTCCTAAAGAATCTGCAACGCTCTGTCAGAACAATGAACTAATCTTAACGTTTTAAACTCTCACTCTCTTAAGGATGCACTTTTAAGATCTAACCTTTTAAATTTTTCAAAATTCTTTATTGGCCCTGCCTCGTCATTTTTAAATTGCTGGTTTTGCTGACCAAAATTGTGCAAAATGTCAAAAGCAATGCAACGAACTGCAAATCTCATTAACCCATAATCTAGTCACAATGGAATATGGTAAATATGTCAAATGTTTGAACAAAGGGCAAAAAAAAAAGTAATTAAATTTAATAATTCAATCGTTAGGCAGCACGGTGGCGCAACTGGTAGAGCTGCTGCCTCTCAGCGAACAGGTCCTTGGTTCAAACCCCGGTCCAGGGGCCTTTCTGGGTGGAGTTTGCATGTTCTCTCCGTGCATGCGTGGGTTTTCTCCGGGTACTCCGGTTTCTTCCCACAGACCAAAAACATGCATGTTAGGCTGATTGGTAACTCTAAATTGTCTCTAGGTGTGAGTGAGAAAGTGAATGGTTGTTTGTCTCGTTTGTCTCTATGTGTCCCTGTGATGGACTTGCGACCCGTCCAGGGTGTACCCCGCCCCTCGCACAGTGATTGCTGGACATGGGCACCAGCGACCCCCGTGACCCAAAATGGAACAAGCGGGTAAAGAAAATGGATGGATGGATGAATTCAATCGTTAAAATTTAATTAAGCCTATTAGATGAATTGGCAAAAGGAGCATTTTAAAGAGGCTGAATCTCTCAGAAATAAAGATGGGCAGAGGTTCACTAGTCTGCAAAAATAAGCGTCTAAAATAGTGGAACAACTTCAAAATAATGTTTCTCAATGAAAATTGAGAAGTGTTTGAATCTGTAGTTCATATTGTCAAAAAAAAAAAATCTAAAATTTTATAAAATTTGTCAACCTTCATATATTTAACATGTCCTGTTTACTTTTTTTAATTTTTTTTATTGTTGCAATGTTTATTGTCAAAGCAGGTGTGTGAAAGTATATTGTGAAGTTTACCACCTTCTGCCCAGGTTCTTGAATGCAACACATTTCTCTCCCCTCTCCCTCCCCCCTCCATCCAGCAGTATTCTCCTCCCTCTGTTTCCTGCCAGCCTCTCAGCAGAGGATGTGACAGAGAGAGAGAGAGTGCGTGTGAGGGGAAAAGGGGAAAGCCGTCAGTAGAATGGATATGTGCCCTCTCTCTTCCACCCTTTCTTCTCCTTCCTCCTCTCTGTCTCCTCTCTGGCTTCCTTCACCCTCCTCCGCCTACATTGTGCCCTGGGCTCCTTCAGTTTTGGCTCTTGGGGGGGAAAGGAATCTCGCCGGGTGGACGGGGGACTGAAAACTGAACTTCAATGTCAGCCGGGGGCCAGAAGAAAGGTGGTGACAAACCTAAAGGTAAACACACAAACACGGTTTGCTTGATGACAACATTTCTAAATGGTCAACACCCACTTCTAAAGTCTGAACAGCTGTAAACAAAGTAAATCTGCATCTGCAGTGTTCTCTGAGAGGAATGAATGAAGTCTGCAGTGTCATCACTGAAGAACCAGGTTAGGACTCGTGTATTGATTTGTACATGAAACATCAGCACCATCCTCCCTCATGATGGAGAATCCTCCAGAAGACGTTTTAAACTTCTTATTAAAGCTTTTTCACCAATATGAACATTTCTTTACATTTCATGAACTTTTTTTTTCACGCACTCTTCATCTGTGAATGGAGTTAGCTCAGTTGTGTTGAAGTTTCTGTTCGGTTTATTAAAACGTATAAACTTTAGATTATGCCAAAGTAAATATTGTGTGATGTAACTTAGAACTTTTAATCTTTTCAGAACATTTAAGGAGACGGGGATGTCTTTCATCCATTTAGCGTGATTCATTTAGAAAATCACACATTTTGTCAGTTCAGTTCATTTATTAGTGAATAAAATGCTATGTGTAAAAAAAGCACACTTCATTGTTCTCTAAAATGCAACTAAAATCAGTACATTAGGCACAAAAATATCAAGTCAAGCAATCATCAAAATAATTAGTTTTCTTTAAAAATAACATCAGGTAAAACAATATATTCAGGAATTCTGTTTCATAAGCAAACATTGTTAATGTTTTATCATTTAGCCTCCATTTCTTATGTTCAACAGACAATTCACATCCTCTAAGTTTAATCCAACTCCTTTAAAAAAAACTGATTATTCCATTAATTAGAAGGAAAAAAGATGCAGAGAAAATGCATAATTTTGGTGTAGCATGACAACTGAAAAATATAAAAACAGCTTTTAAAATAAGATTATTTTGAATTTGAAATGTTTGAACTGGCTGCTTGTAGTTATCAGGTATGACATGTTTTGAATTATTAATGAATACCTCGAGTCATTTGAAGAGGCCGCCTGATCCTGCAGACATTTTGTATCCGTGCTTTCCACAACTTTTACATTTTATGAATTAGTCATGTAAAATCGTTGCCAGTTCACAAAGATGAAGACGGACTGGACTTTGCACAACAACCAGACAAGCTCATACAAAATATTGCAGTCCATTCAGCAGCAGAGACCAAAAATAAAAGCATTTAGATTGTATTGCATGCATGTAAAATAATATATAAACTTGTAATATTACAAGTTTTACCTCCTCAAATTTTAGACAATTTGCTTGAACTTTTTTTCTTTCTTCCACTTTTTCTCCTAAATTTGATGGGCTGCTTATCACGAGTTCTAGAATTGCGCCGCTCGGGGTGGCTGCATGCTGGAGTAGCTCTGCTACATTCATTCTGAGTTTTTGCTTTTGGAAACTTTAATTCCTCTTTCTCTGGATGTAAATGACAATTCTTCAGATGAATGTTTCCTCTGGTATCTAATGCTGTGCAGCTGAAAGGATTTTTACTGAAACTTTTTTACTTTTGGACATTTGTCATGATGCGTAACCATGACAACAAGGTGTTTTTTGTTTGTTTGTTTTTTATAACCGGGACAGCTCATCTCAAAAGCTCAAATAATATCTCGGCTACAGCACCAAATCTCAAATGAGTTTTTTTTTAAAAAAAGGAGGTGCCGTGGATGCATTCTCGTCTCCTTGCCGGCTGTGCTCGAGTGCCTGGTTGAAATCCTGGAACTAGCAGGAAACACGGCTCGTGGCAGCAGAAGGACCGGGATCATCTCCTGGCACCTGCAGCCGGCTGTCCGCAGCGACAAGGATGCTGGGAGGAGTGGCCATCGCTCTGGGAGGAGTTCTGCCCATCATCCGGTTGGTCCTGCAACCTGGACGAACCGAGAGGTCAACTGAGTCTGGGTTGACGGATCGGATGTCATCTGCGTCCAGTTTCTTCGGATCTGCTGTGGGACAGACTTTTACAAGAAATTCTTCCTTCCTACCTACAGCCATCAGTATCTATAACATCTCAATGAAACGAGGATAACGAGTTACAAAAATTTAATTTCCCTTTGGGATTATTAACGTATTTTTGAATTGAATTGAACAGATAAGTCCGAGAAAAATAAACTTGCAGCTTTAAATATTCTGTAGCTCTCTGAGCAGCAGTTCTGTTCATTCACTGGCCATCAGTTATTTTGTGGTTCTGCTGGTTTCCATACCAACCTGTCTGCAGCATTATGGTGCATCTATCAGTGAGTAAGTCATGATGTTGTTTCGAGCTGCTGCAGAGGTCGATTACATTACACTCGTCTCTGTCTTGCATGTGGAGCTCAATGGTTTATTGTTTTGCTGAGCTGCTGACGTTTCAGCATCAGATTTGGTCTGGTTGGGAGATACCAGAGTGTCTCATGACCTCTTATAAGACAGAAACAGGCCTGTTTCTGGAATTTTGACATCCAAACATCTGCGCAACAAGACTCAACGTTGTTATAGAAGCTGTATTCTGATTGTGCAATCCAGTGCACCAAGTTTACACATCTCAGCCTGTTCTAGTGACTGAACATAGCTCTGACTATCTTGTCAGCACATTGTTCAATTAAGACCAGTCAGAAAAGTTCAAACGTCACGTGACTGGTTGCAAGACAGCGTCTTCTCACTGACTGACATCAGAAATGAGATGGTGCCCACCTCACCTAACCGATGACAGCAGAGCCTCTCGGCTGTCTTCTATAAAAAGATTGTCTCCATTAGGCAGCAGAAAACAACTGTGACTCAGACTGTGCAGCATATCTCCTTTCAAAAACGTCAATATTTCTGCTGCTGCTCAGCAAAAAGTTTGGATCCATCTAAACCGTCTGGTTTTACCTCTTATTTGTATTTTTTCCCACCGTTGGTGACCACAGGGTGAACTACAGCATAAAGCCTCTAGCAATTTACAAACCGGATTCCAAAAAAGTTGGGACACTAAACAAATTGTGAATAAAAACTGAATGCAATGATGTGGAGGTGCCAACATCTAATATTTTATTCAGAATAGAACACAAATCACAGATCAAAAGTTTAAACTGAGAGAATGTATCATTTTAAGGTAAAAATCTGTTGTTTCCAAATTTCATGGCGTCAACAAATCCCCAAAAAAGTTGGGACAAGTCCATTTTTACCACTGTGTGGCATCCCCCCTTCTTCTTACAACACTCAACAGACGTCTGGGGACAGAGGAGACCAGTTTCTCAAGTTTAGAAATAGGAATGCTCTCCCATTCATGTCTAATACAGGCCTCTAACTGTTCAATCGTCTTGGGCCTTCTTTGTCGCATCTTCCTCTTTATGATGCGCCAAATGTTCTCTATAGGTGAAAGATCTGGACTGCAGGCTGGCCATGTCAGTACCCGGATCCTTCTCCTATGTAGCCATGATGTTGTGATTGCTGCAGAATGTGGTCTGGCATTATCGTGTTGAAAAATGCAGGGTCTTCCCTGAAAGAGACGACGTCTAGATGGGAGCATATGTTGTTCTAGAACCTGAACATAGTTCTCTGCATTAATGGTGCCTTTCCAGACATGCAAGCTGCCCATGCCACAAGCGCTCATGCAACCCCATACCATCAGTGATGCAGGCTTCTGAATGAAGCGTTGATAACAACTTGGGCTATCCTTGTCCTCTCTGGTCCGGATGACATGGCGTCCCAGTGCTCCATAAAGAACTTCAAATCGTGACTCATCTGACCACAGAACAGTCTTCCATTTTGCCACATTCCATTTTAAATGACCCCTGGCCCAGTGCAAACGTCTGAGCTTGTGGAGCTTGCTTAGAAATGGCTTCCTCTTTGCACTGTAGAGTTTCAGCTGGCAACGGTGGATGGCACGGTGGATTGTGTTCACTGACGATGCTTTCTGGAAGTATTCCTGAGCCCATTCTGTTATTTCCTTGACAGTGGCATTCCTGTTTGAGGTGCAGTGGCGTTTAAGGGCCCGGAGATCACGAGCATCCAGTAGAGTTTTACGGCCTTGACCCTTACGCACAGCGATAGTTCCAGATTCACTGAATCTTTTGACGATGTTATGCACGGTTGATGAAGATAACTTAAAAATATTTGCTATTTTACGCTGGGTAACACCATTCTGGTATTGCTGCACTATATTTCTGCGCAACAATGGTGGAATTGGTGATCCTCTTACCATCTTGGCTTCTGAGAGACACTGACACTCTGAGAAGCTCTTTTTATACCTAATCATGTTGTCAATTGACCTAATTAGTGTTAATTGGTCTTCCAGCTGTTCATTATATACTCAATTTCCTTTTTCCAGCCACTTATTGCTACTTGTCCCAACTTTTTTGGGATTTGTTGACACTGTGAAATTTTGACTCAACATATTTTTCCTTTAAAATGTTACATTTACTCAGATTAAACTTTTGATCTGTCATCTGTTATGTAGTGGACTAGGCCCATGTCAAAAACTAAGTCTAAGGTCAAAAATCTTGACCTTAAGAACCTTGTGGGACAGGAACTGTCATTTCATTGATTTGAATCCAGAAATACAGGTTCACCCATCCTGAGACTTTCTTTCTTGAAGATTCAAGTGAAAAGAACACTCTCTTTTTATTATCATTACTATTTTACAAATGTTGATAATCAAAATGTCTTAGTTCAAACCATTTTAGATGTTGCAGTGAACTAATCAATTTTATTAACTGAGTAATGATTTTTATTCTCATGTCAAAGCTGTAACAGAGTAATTATGCCTTTTCTGATTTCTGCTTTTGAATGAGCAAGTGTAAGTTGGTCCAAGGTTGGAGTCAAACGCAAAACAAGTTGTTATGTTAAAACTGTCATGTTTTTAGAATCCTCTCAGACGTAATATAGAGGTTTTTGGCACCTGTTTCTGAAACGCGCCAAAACAAAACTCTCTCTGTCTGTGAGAACATTTCTGATCTTTCCATAACAATTCTTGCTGTCTTCTAACCTCTTACGTCACAAAACACACCCCGTCTGGTCGGTTCTGACCAATGGTAATACTCCCAAAAGTGAACCGGGAAACAGCTCTTTAAAATGTCAGTACTTCCTGGTCTACTCAGTTCTGTTGGAGTTCTGTTGAAGTTCTGTTGAGGCTCTAGTTCTGGTTCTGCTAGAGAGTTCTGTTGAAGCTCTGCTCGGATGCTGTTTCTGCACAGTTCTGTTCTGAGAGTTCAGTTCTGTTGAAGCTCTGGAGAAGTTCTGTTCTGTTCAGTTCTGCTCAGTTCTGTGAGAGACGGGATGATCCTGACATGACAACAAAGCTCTTCCGAGTTCCATGGGAATATAACACTTTCACTCGCCACTACTTCTGACGAGCTACAGCCATCCTAAGGAGACGCTGGACAGGTAGCGTTAACGGAACACCATATCTGCTGATTATCATCAGAAAGGTAATGGGTCAAGTTTCCTACCAAGCGTACCGAGGCGAGCTGGGTTTCTGATGGAGAGTGTCGGTTCTGGTGAACACTTCCTTCCCCTCACACACCCTCTTACTCCCTCTTAACTTCTTTCATCTTTAAACTTTTCTCTCAAGTAGAAATTCTTCCAGATATTTTAGAAATGTCTGTGTAAAATGCTCACCCACATCCATGTGGGTAAAAGATCATAATTGTACAGTTTTCATAAATGTCTGTGGTGAAGCAACGGAAAAATCATGGCCGTATGATTTTTCCTGATTGATTGCTTATGTTGTTATTTTCATAATTTGCCAAATTAATGTAAATGTTTGATGTTAAATTTTGATTCTGTAAATAAATGACCGCATTCATTTTGATGGGTCAAACATAGATGACGTCTCACGTTTGCATTTCCTTAAATTCAATGCACGTTTTATTCAGTCCAGAAAAATGAGGAATCCGTGTTAAATGATGAATATATCCGAGCATCTGTTCATCTACAGTTATATTACGAATAAAATATTGACATTTGCCATCTCCACATCATTGCATTCAGTTTTTATTCACAATTTGTTTAGTGTCCCAACTTTTTTGGAATCCGGTTTGTAGAAAACTACAAACAAAATTAGTTAATGCCATCTCAGTTTTGCTTTGGATCATTTATTTTATGGAAACCTCTAAGAATCAGTAAATTAGCAGTATCAAAAATATAAAAGTTTGTACACATGCTCTGAAGCATGTTTAGTTTCTATTATTATTCTATGCCCGTTAAAAGACAGACATGCTAGGTAGTCTGTCCCTCAACTTTATTTTGTCTGCATCATAACTTCTGATCAGCCTAAGATAATTTAATCAAACTTGATGCACATAACGCATCATCACTAGACACGTCGTCACCTCAGCTCCGAGGTCAAGGTTCTAAATCAAGGTCAAAGTTAAAACAAGGTCTTTGCTTGTCTGGATCATAACCCCTAATCTGCTCAAGACAATTTTACAAAACTTGAACACATCTGTACCACCTCCAGGTAGCGTGATGCATCATCTTTTCATTACCCCAGCTCTAAGGTCAAGGAAAAATAAAGGCCAAAGGTTGTCAAAGATCTTTGTCCAGGTCATTGCTATAGATTGCTGTATAATAGCTTGTCAGCATGTGGCAAACATCCCAGATGTGGTACTCTAGTCTATTTCTAAAAAGGTGCCGAGGGTTGAATTGCAGTAAATGTCAGAGGATCACAACAAATCTAATAAAAACCTCTGGCAGTCATTTTTGTCACTTAGCATTACAGCTGATTTCTTGTTGGTTTCTGAGTTCCTTCTATGATTTCTTTGTCTCCCATTCTTTTGCTCCTCACTTTATTTAATTTCTGAACTGGAATCTAATTAAAGTGTAAAATAAAACAAACTTCTGGTAAAAGTTATCCACCCAGTGACAACGATTAAAAAAAAAAAAAAAATCTTGTTTTAGTTCCACCTTAGCATTGTGCAGTACCATGTGCAATTGTCTTTTTTTTTTAAGTCATGTGACTTAATTCTCTCAGGTTCTGTGTAATTTATCATGATTGCTGACATTAACCTCAGCAATAACACTTATTTTCTCTTCATTTTTATTGACATATGTTATTTTTTGCAGCCAAATGAGAAATAGATTAAAAACACATGAAATTGCTTGCATAACCATTTTTGAGAGATGACTTCCCATCTGGGAACAAACCCCGCAGCACATGAGGATTTTGTTTCTGCAAACAATATTTGGGAGCAGAGCTGCAGTTGCAGCAGAAAGATTGACATAACTTCACAAGAAACAAAAATTATCCAGTTCCAGCTTTCCTGCCATGGGAAAGGTTGTGTTCTGGGTTCAAAGAGTAATTTACTTAAAGAGATTTCTCCATCCGTGACGTTTTTAAAGTGCTTATCCAACTGAGGCCTAATTTGTCCAATTATAAGAAGAATTTCCCTCAAGAAGTCTGTGAAGCATCAAATCTCATGATCAGTTTATCTGATAAACAGAAAGTCAACACCACCACAAAATACTCTGACTTCTTGTGTTTTATAATCTGAAGAAGAGAATAACTGATTCTTATATAAAATCCTACGAAAACGTCTAAAAAAATATGTTGCAGCTTTTATCATTTATTTTGCTTGCACTTATTTGGCTGAAGTCAAAATCACTGAGGTGTAATCCTGCAACATTATCTTGAGTTTCTTTAGGAGATTCCAGCTATAAGGCTCTGTCTTATTAAACTGAGATTATTGGTAATTTTCAAATCAAAAGGTATTTACAGCCAGTGGGAGAAAAATGCAATAACACCAAAAGTTACTGCGCCTCATGATCTGTGTTTCTGTTAGACTTGGTGTCGGAGGGTACAGCATGGCCAGAGGTGGAGAGAGCGGAGCGTTTGGCCCGTGGAGCTGCCCTGAAGTGGGCGTCGGGTGTCTTCTGTCGCCCTGAACATCTGGAACGACTGAGCCAGTACAGGAAGAGAGAGAGTCAGAGGACTGCCTCGGTTCACACTAGACTGAAGGTACAACAAATACTGAATGAGCCCAAATGTTCTTGTTCTAGAATTGTGCTGCTCGGGGTGGCTGCACGTTGGAGCAGCTCCGTTACATTCATTCAGAGTTATCACTTTAAAAAACTTTTAATTCCTCTTTTTCTGGATGTAAATCACTTTTTTTGGGGGGGGATTATTATTTCCTCTGGTATCGGATGCTGTGCAGCTGGAAGGATTTTCACAGAAACCTTTTTACTTTTGGACACTTGTTATAATGCGTAACCATGGCAACAAGGTGTTTTCTAACCACCAGGAGCAGCTGATTAACATCTCAAAAGCTCATATTCCTCAAATACAGCCCCAAATCCCAAATGAGTGAAAATGAGGCGCCGTGGATGAATTCCCGTCAATCTGGCGGCGGTGCTAGAGTACCTGACCGTCGAGATCCTGGAGCAGGTGGGAAACTCGGCTCGTGACAACAGGAGGACTGGGAACGTCCCCAGGCACCTTCAGCTGCCTGTCTGTGGCGACGAGGAGCTCGGCAGACTGCTGGGAGGAGTGACCATCGCTCAGGGAGGAATTCTGCCCGGCATTTAGACAGCCCTGCTGCCCGGGAGGACCGAGAGGTCCGCCAGATCCGACAGCAAGCAGGATCCAAGTTTATGGATACCTGTGGCCAGATTCTTCGGATTCGCTGCAGGAGATCCTTCCTGCCCGTCAGCATCTAACAACTCTTGAATGAAACCAGGATGATGAGCTACATCAACACTTAATTTCCCTTTGGGATTAATAAAGTATTTTTGAATTGAATTTGAATTGAAAAATAAACAAGAATCAACTGTAGAGTTCATTCTGAATCAGAATTCACACTTTCAGTGATGTCATCTGTAAATCGGTACATCCTGTGATCTGTTTGCAGTCTATGGTCCAGTCATACCTGGAGGGGGTGGGCTGGGGTCTGGAGCAGCTTCGAGAGGCCAGAGCCGAGCTGAAGGAGGTGTCCCACACGTTGAAGAAAGCAGGACTGGAATCTGACGGAAACGCAGACACCATGAAGTCTCTGGAGAGGCTGAGGGAGGTGTCTGTCACCCACCGTCAGCTCCTCGCCGCCGTTAGCAACCTGCCTCGACTTTATTCTGGTGAGAATCCAGAACACGTTAGTTTTCTCGCAAAACGAGTCATCTCACAATAATAGACACGTTCAATAATTGTTCAGAAATATACTGATTTCAGCCCATGATAATACAACTAGTTTGTAAATGTGAAATATTCTGAACTGTGGCACCCAGAACCAAAGAATGATTTATGAAAAATGTTGTCAACCTGACGAGCTTTGATCACATTTTATAATAAAATGTAGCCCGTGATGGTAAACTGAGTTGGAATCAGCACAAGCTGCAGTGCAAAAAAGTAAAAAATGACTTATATGCGCCCTAAGTGAGAGTTGTGTAAAAATGAATCCATAAAGTCGCCAGCGTGGCAAACAATCTTGCTAATTTATCTTTAAATCTAAATTTTCTAACAATAGCATAATTGTGAAGATTAGGTCTAACAAAGTTGAGTCAGGTCCTCTGGACAGATGCAAAAAGTAGAAAAAAAAAATCAATGGAAACGTTTCATCTTTTATCCAAAATACTTCCTCAGCCTGATGAAGTCTTTTGGATAAAAGATGAAAGGTTTCAATAATTATTATTATTATATATTTTATTTTATTTAATTTTTTACTTTTTGCATCTGTCCAGAGGACCTGACTCAACTTTGTTAGATTTTTCTACCTGTGAGTATCAACTGGTGGCCCCTGGGCCACTTTGGGTTTGTTGAAGGAGACTTTTGTGGCCAGTAGGGGTGACATTATAAAGCTAAAAAATCTAATGCTTTTTAACATTTATTGATATTTTTTACAATTTAAGACATGAAAAGACCAAATTATTGTAAAGAGGGGGAAAGCATTTTTTTTATTATTACAAAAAGAACAATGCAGGCCTTTAACTCACTAAAAAAAGCTAAAAAAAAAAAATAAAATTTAAATCACATTTGTTTATTGTGGAAAAAATAATTAAGTATAGAAATAAAGCAAAAAGTTAAAGTGAGTATTTGCAAAAGAAATTACAGGAAAATGGCTAAAACTAGTACTTTTTTGTTGTTTGTATAACAACCAATAAAACTCAGTTTTATGCTAGTTTTGGTCAAAGCTTGAAAGAGTTGCTGTGGAGGGACCAAAGAGCCTCATGTGGCTCCAGAGCCTCAGGTTGCAGACCCCTGTTCTAGACCAATAAAATTTTACGTTTTCAAGTCGGCGCTCTTGTAAAATGCTGGTGAAGATTCTCATCATCCAGGACATGATGAATTCAAAAAGCGTTCAATACAAAAACAACTGGACTTTATTTGTAACAGAAGACGTTTCGCTCCTCATCCTATTCCGGTGATCACCTAATTTCAACAAACATTCATCTCATTTTGAAGTTTCTCATAAGGAGAATTTGAAATAATAATTACTCAGTATTGAAAATGTCCTTGTGACTCACTTTGTCAGCACAGATCACAAATATTCACTATTTCTGATTCAAAACCATCTAAAGTTTCTGTCCACCACCTTCCTCAGTATATAGTTGACACATTACTCCTCCAGGAAGCAACTCCAACTTTTTCAAGTTACGTCATGAGGTTCTCGTGTAAACTCCTGCAGTGCGTAGCATGGTGTCTGAGACGGAGCGTCTGGTGGAGTCCCGGCGGCTTCTGGAGGCCCACACCCGGCTGATGGACCTGGAGCGGTGGCAGGACGACATCCTCTGGCAGATCCACGGGGCCGCTGGCACATCAGGAAGTGCTCTCAGCGTGGAGGACAAGGAGCTGGTGGCCAGATATTTCTCTGGAGTGGGACAACTGGTGGACGCCCTGGGTAAGGAGATCAGTTTACTGAGTGATGCTGGGAGGAAAAACATGAAGCTCAAAACTTTACAGCAATGTTTGTACAGTTCTGATGAACAAACTACATATAATAGAATATGGACAAAGACTTTTGTAAACCTTAACAGAACACGTCATAAATTTTTACTTAGTCTGAATTTATTTTTTTAGTATTTTAGATGGTCCTTGCTAGGATAGGCATCACCTCAGCAGAATATACATAATTAGTTAGAAAGTTGCCAACGCAGCCTAAAACTCCAACATCCATTTAGTAATGATCTAAAGAAACACACACTTTGATATATGATAATGGTAAAGAGAAACACGCTCAAATGAAATGGGAACGCTGATGCCAGTGGCTCGTTATGGTCACCATGGTTACCACACACCAGAATCTGTCGCACCCTGACAGTAAATATAAGAGAGACAGACTGAAAGTTAAGCCTCAAACAAACTGTCGCTGTGCAAAAACTACAAGTTGGATTCTAAAAACTTTTTAAACTGTGAGTGACAGAAGATTAATGGTCACATGTGAATTTTTATGTTTCTACAGAGTTTTATGTAGGAGGTATAAGTTTACAAAAAGCCTCACTTTCAGTTTTAAGAAAGATTTTTGAGCTAACTTAAGTCTGTGGCAGCTTGGGTGTGTGCTCTCTGCATTTTCAGGGGATTTAAGAGAAAACCAAGTCTCATAAAGAGACACCCTGTGTAATTAAAAAAAGGGAATTCAGAAGTTTTAGAGTTCAATTTGTAAATGTATCAAAGGTGGGAGTAAGAGGAGTTTGTTAGCAAAGGTTGTAGACACTTCAAAAGTTGGTGACATCATCAACTCTACTGGACATTTCATAGAAGAATCTTGGAAATCCATAAAAATTAAAGTAATCGTGTAAAACAAACAAAATGCCAGTTCAGAAGTTTGAAGTTTAAGTTTCTGTGACCCGTTCAAACTTTGAATATTATTCCTTCACTGAGGTCTGTCTGTGATATGGAGCTCCAAATAAGGCTGTTTTTTTTTTCACCTGTTTCACCTAAACTCCACTGATCATCGTAGTTATTTTGCTAACAAAAGTCAAAGCATAGTGTATTTGAGCTGCACATTTTGATTCATAGCTCGCATGTTTTATTTCAAAGTTGTGCAGCGAGATCAAAGATTTTGAATGTGATCGTATGAAAGGTGCTCCTGTACAATAATATGCACACTCTGTGCACATAAATCAACACGACTCCTAATTTATTTTATCGTTTCTATCCAGAAAATTATTTTCTTGTAATTTCTTAAAATAGTCTTGAACTTTTTTTTATATAGATTTCCAAAGTTTTGTTTGAAACATTATTTATGAAGGGCTTTTCTGAAACTTTACAAAAGCGTTAAAGATAAAAAAAAACAGTCTACCTGCAGGACAAAGTAGATCCACATGAAATGAGAACAGCAGAGACTGAGTTTACTTCTGCAAACTTATTGCCCTCACTCTCGTCCTCCCTAATCCTGCAGGGAAGGAGCTGTGGGCGGTGGTGAGCAGTGCTCTGGCTCTGGCCCGACAGAATCCCACACCGTTTGTATCAGCTGTGAGGATAGTCGAGCGTGAGGAGGCCCTGGATCGAGCTCTGCTGGCAGAGAGGGGGGGTGCTGAAGGCAGCTGCAGACCCCTGCCTCCTGGACGACCCCGCTGCTGGAAAATATCCTTCTTCCAGGTCAGCACCACCTGATGAGGTGGTCACATCACATCTTAAGTGTCTATTTGATTCATTGTATGGTTTCTTCTCACCCCAGGTACTAGAGGAGGCCGTGTTAGCGAGATTTCGGAGCGTGTCCTACCTGCACACACGTGGTCCGGGTCTGGCGGGTCACCTCTCAGCTCTGCAGCACGGCATCATGACTGACCTCGCCACTGTACGCCACCTGTTGGAGCACTGCGTCCCGCCGCACTACCAGCTGACTGCAGCCTACCTGAAGGCCAGCCACCGCTGTTTACACACACACCTGGCTCAGGTCAGTCATGTGACTTGCACCTTTACTGCAGCTTCTTTTGATATGCATGTTGTGATGCACACTCACTCTAGTTTTTAAAATCGTTTAATTTGCATACAACTTCTGTAGATTAATGATGATTTAAAATTTCCAGCTTCACTTTCCAGATCTAAATGTTATTTTTGTCCTAGGTTAGCAGCTGGGATCTAGAGAGTGGTGAAATATTTGCAGTGCTCAACTGGGTGCTGCACATTTACAACAGGTGAGGCATCTTTTTGATTCTGCACTTCAACATCATTTTGGAAATATCTCTAATTCACTTCTAATAAACTAATCTAATCACACTCTCTCCTATGTTCAGCTTTTTCTTTTTTTTAAATAAACTTTAACTTAAGTTTATCGAAATTTTTCTTTAAAAATTGTATCTAAAGTGTCATTTCAAGAATTGCTCAGAGCTATACTTATTGTATGTTTGACTTAAAAGTCAGTCTCGCAGGAGATTTAAGATGTCACCAGAGGGTTACAATAATTGAAGGAGAATAACTGGTGCCATAATTAAATATTTTTCTTCAAAAATTATTGCATTTTATTTTTCCTATAACAGCAACTATAAGGATAAATTTGATTAAAAAACCTTTTTTTCTTAACTTTGTATTCAAAGTATGAATGTAAGTTGTGGTCTACAAGAAACTTGACTGTGTCGTTACAAAATCTGTGCCTCGGGTTATTGTTGTTGCATTACAATAAATATTTAAAATAAAATGCAGAGCTCCTGGACCTTAAACACAATCGATCTGAGTGTGATGCTCTTGTTTTGGCAGCCCAGATATGATGGGACACCCAGAGCTGGTAGCTGATATTGAGAGGGCAGAACTGGGTCCGCTCATCTCCACCGAGGGTCTGGAGCAGCTGCAGAGCAAATACGTACAAAGTGTTCAGGTGATTCAACCTAAAGCATTTCTTCCAGATTATCCAACTCTGATATAATCTGAGAGCTTCGTTCAGAAGCATCAGAAAAACCCACCACAACATCATGAGGGGAGTTTTGTGGCGGCACTGAAATTCCAGGATATACACTTTAAATGTTTTTATTTCAACATATTGGATGGTCTGAACAGTTAAAGAAAAATTAGTAAAATGTGCTGATGCTTGAGTTTGTTTGTGACTTGTTGCTGCTGCAGAGGAGCGTTTCAGAGTGGATGCACAAAGCTCTGCAGGTGGAGCTGCAAGACTGGCAGAGAGACCAGGAGCCCGATACAGACCATGAGGGTTTCTACCAGACCAGCCTGCCCACTATTATCACACAGGTAAACAACACACACACACACAGAGGTTTGTCTTGCTATCTTTACATGGACTTTGCTCTGACTTCCATTCATTTTTCATTCATTTCTATAGCCTGACCCTAACCCTAACCATTACCAATACATACCTAACCCTAAGCCTAACCATTACCAGTACATACCTAACCC